CCGTACCAAACTTTAAACTTTTACTTCTAGTATTTACTTACCGTCGTCTTATTTTTTTCTTTTTTAACTTTGTCTTAATATTCTGTGTTGGTTTTTAATTATATATATATATATATATATATATATTTATATCGAGTAAGCTATACATTATGTATTAGGCCTAATGCTTAAAAGTTAAATTAGGCTACAAATAACGTTAGAGTAAGAAATATTTAGTTGCATATGAATAAGTATGAACACATAGCTTTTAAGTTACGCAATAACAAGCTCTCTGATGGAAAGGTGGGGCGCTCTGGTTTTTGAGTACAAGATTAAATTCCATCATGTTTTTGACGAGTCGGGCAAATGATAAACTTTACGCACATAGACCTAGGTTATGGTTCCACATTACTTCTTTACTTTAGGCCAAATTACAAAAAGTAGTTCATTAGGCTTACCTATGACGTGATGATAAAGTTATTTAACATTTTGTTATTTATATTTTTGTAGTTCTTTGATGAAGAATTCTTTGATTTTGATTCGTAGAGAAAAGCAAAGTAAAAATTAACAGGAATTTCAATGGAGTAGTTAGTGCCTGTCGGTGTTAAACACAACTGAAATATTTTTTTCAATCGCTACAATATATTACTATTAGAGTCCCTCAACGGGACTATTACTATTTATGTTTTTCACCTTTGGTAAGAGATTTGTTAAAATGTAAGCATTTTTTAATGAAAATTAATACCTTCGTAGATTTGCCCTTGACCTTCAATTTCTTTGCCTTTGGCATCACAGCTGATAAATCGCAGGATGAAGCATTTGACAGTGTAGGAATATTTATTCCAAAACCAATTTTTTTCGCATGATCAAATCTTTATCAAGAAGCAGTATTTGAATATAACATAAATATATATAAGTCTAAATGTTAAGCAGAACGCTTTTTAACATTACAAATGACATGTAAGCATACTGGATATAGTCATAAATAATATGGAGAATAAACTGAAAAGTAAAAAAACCGTTTAAAATGATTTTCATAAATCTATATAAAAGTCATGAACTTTGATGTCATACTACTGTTTTTCCGTTGATTAAAATATAATCTAATTTATATAAAAGTCTGATATATGTGTGATTTTGTAATTTAAGTTGCACAATTCTTCTTTATTTTTTGAGAGTGTACTTGAAAATTGTTTTTATTTTGTGAAAGTGTAATTGTTTTTCTTTTATGATGAAAGGGGAAGTTTGGTGAAAAAGCTTGCTGAAGAGAGGGGAGGGTAAGCCCCCGTTTTTTTGTTGTTGTTCATTTTTTTATACAAAATTCAAAACCGTCGTGTTTTTGATTGATTGGACAAAGTTAGTATACGATAATGCCTCGCTTTTTGATTTTATTGATTTCAGAAACAAAAAGGAAATAGGGTGAAATATTTTAGAACTACAGAAGTAATAACAAAAGTTAACTAGGCTTAGCAGAAAGTTTTTTTATGTGACTGCACTCTAGGATTCGTTCATTGTATTGAAAACAAGGCTGAATTCTAAGCCTAAATCATTAGATTTTTTTTTTTTTTTTGCAATCGATAATGTGATGTCGCATCTTGGTGGAATCACATAAAAATATTTCTAATTTAGAATAGGGATAAACAATTAAAGACTTAAAACAAGAAATTGACTCCGTTTAAAAAAATCGTTTCAGCAGATCGGAAAACAAAGACAAGTATTTGTATAGTCGCATATTCCTCGCATGGTATTTTTGTAGATGTAGATACAATTTTCTCTACAGACGTCGTTGTTAGTGCAGTTTTCTAGCGTTTGTGCTGATAAAGTACCTGTAAAGCAGATCAAAAGCATGATTAAATGAAACTGAATAGCATTTTATTTTATGTTTTATTATAATCCTGAGTAAAACCTTTTATCATAAAACATTTAGTGCGTAGAAATCTTTGTTTATTGTAATTATAAGTCTAAAATATGGATTAACGATATTAGTAAATTGAATTGCGATTAAACTTATAGAACTAAGAAAGATACAAACAAGGGTTATGATAACAAATCGTTAACACTAAAATTGTTGTTAACTATGAAAGTTACAATTCTCCCCAGATCGTGTAGTAAGATCCATGCAGTAGGCAAGGTGTTCTATGTTCTGTTGAGTTGCAATTATTCCCATATTGTGTGATAAGAACCATGCGGTTCCTCAAATCGTATGAAAGAACCACACATTTGCCCAGATTGTGATATAAGAACCTTGTTGTTGGCAAGGTGTTCAGTATTCTGTTGATTTATTTCGTTTGTGAGCTGTCACCAGTTAGGAGGTTGGAAGACTATTTACAGTTATAATGTTTATCTGATGTTAATTAGGATTAATCATCTGATCTAATATCAAGGATCTTTTAGGCATATAAACCAACAATGTCTTTAACTTTTTCAGACTAAATGTTAGCTAGTAATTTTCAATTCAGATATTGAGAATTGAAGTAAATGAGATGTAATTAAAGATATTATTCCACTACAAGTTAACATGCAGACTATAATGAGGTTTAAGTTTTTCTCCATCCTTACAGGTGGAAAAGTTGGAAAAACACCATCTAAGTGTTCAGAAGATATTAGTTAGGTTTAAAGTTTTACTCCTTCTTAGGTTTCAGTTTTTGTCAGATCACTTGTGAAAAAACTCTGGTGTTAAAGTGTATTAACCATTTATAAGTTATATAATTATATCATGCGACAAAATGAAGTACTGCAAATATAATATTTGGTAAAAGAAACTAGTGATCCACGATGGTATGTATTTTGGTAGAAGTCAAATTTTAGTTTGTAGACTATTAAGCAATGAGACATTTACTGTCTCCTTAAGTCAAATTCATAACCATTGATGTAAATTATTACGAACCTAGGTGTGGATATAGTAAGGCTTTAAACAGACTTACTAACATGTAACACTTTCTAGTTTTAGCGTCTATAGTAGCTCCATGGTTAAGACAGTCACAAAATAGTATTTTTAGAGCCTTATGGAATCTCGTCTCAATAATTAACAGCATTTGGAGCACCATTCCTAGTGACTTATAGATCATTACATCCATTGAACCAGGTGATTTTCTCTACCAACAGAAAGCTAGCTACGTTTTAGCTGAGGCTAATAAATTCAATTTCATTTTGGTGGATGCTGATGTGCATAACCATTCAATGAACAAGAAACTTTGGAAGAATGAGCTGGTAAATATTTTTGCAAGATCTCAGCTCCTACAACATGTCTAGGATCAGCTTTAGGAATGGTTCTCATGTTTACATCACCCACTAGCCTCATTCATGAGAGAATGGTATTAATTTCCCTTATAAATATATCTGGAGACTTATACAGAATATGCAGAAATGATACAGTGCTGTTTTAGCCATTCAGAATGAGCATATCCGCTATCAGTAAGGACCAATAACAACAATCAGGGTTTTACAAGTGCTTTTGGATCTAATTTCATATTGTATAGAAAATGTTGTTAATTTCATATTTATGCACAATAATATTTGTTCACATTGTACACAAGTCATTTATGTCTACCTTTAACAAAACGAAATTGTGAGGATGGTCTGGTCAACAATTTCACCGGATTCAACGTTATATAATACATCAAACAATATATAATAAATCAACACTACAGAATACATATGGACTAGATTCAGGAACGAATCTCAAATGTACCTCACCCACCAGACATACATACTAGTTGAACTTGGAAACGTCTTGGCAAGGAAATAGGGGAATATTCCATACTACTCCATCAAATTACTTTGTAGAACAGTGTTAGATATAGAATTTGCTCTAATTATTTAATTTCATGAGCCACGGTGTTACTGCAGACATACCCAAGCTAGAGAGTGTTACTCGTCTGAGGATTGTGTAAACAGTTCTATACTTATAACTTGATGTGTTATGATTTTATCTTAAAGAACAAATAAGTTTCTCTCTCATTAATAGTTTGCGAATTATAATTTAGATAATGCAAAATATATCCTAACTATTGGTTGAACCCTAATCTATTTTGTCCAGTACACACTCACATATATGTATATACAATGTGGCAGACTTAAAATACAAAGAAATTATTGAATACTTACCGAGATTACACAATATTAAAATGAGAAGAAAAACTGCGATACTGGCTTTCTGCATGATTTCTGAAAAAACATTAAAAAACACGCAATTATTTAAAATTAATCATTGTTATCATGAGTATGACAGTGTGTTAGAGAGGGATAAATAGATTGGCAACATGTAGATTTTGGGTAATGGAGTAATTTGATCCAGGACTTTTGGGCCACTCCACATGAAGAGAATGTGTAAGGAAGTAAGAACTTATATGTCCCATCAAGTAATATCATTTTGTCTTTTATTAATGAACGTGCATTAAAGAGTCGAAAAGTATTAATCTAATTTACAAACGAAGTTAAGTAATAAAAATGTTGAGATATGTATAAATATTATTTACATCTTCTTTACCTCTATTTTATGTTCGAATATAAAAGCAGCTGATATAAAAGTTTGGCACAAAATAAGTTTGGATATAAACGTATGAGTGGCGAAAAAACCCAACAAATCTATATCTTAGCCAGATGGTATACGTGTATAAAAACTTAAGTGAAGTACATTTTTGAAAAACGCCGATCACAGGTGGCGCAACAGGTAAACTTGAAATTTTGATTTTGTATCACTTGACGTAATAAGGAATTGCAGTTTAAAATTTTGAGTTCCACGTAAAATACTCATTCATTCTTTCATCGATAAGCAGGAATGGTTAGGTCTATCCAAAGTTAAGAATGCAGTAAAAAGTCATATTCAGTATCACGTAATACACGTCACTTAACATATAATTTAAACAACAACTTGTGTGCTGAACTAGTTAGGTTAAGTGGCTTTCTCTGTTGTTAAATTAGTAGGTTCTGTTCTATACTGCTTGTAATATCTTATCGTTAGGATCTTAAAGTAATTTGAATACTCCAATAGGCTCGATGTATTATGTTTCCTTAATTCTGCATGTACTTTCACGTGGGTCTGCAGGCATCTCGTGGTAGAACCGATATGGCATTATGTGCAAAAAGGACAAAAATAATCATTGGATGGCTGCCTGATGTTCTCATTTCTGAATGTTTTGTCTGTTGTTAATACTTTTTAAAAATTTTAATAAATACCTTTGAAGATCATTTACTCAAGTAATTATAACCTTTATTATGTTTCAAAATTTTAGTTGAGTCATTCAGAATGTTATCTACTTTACTAATATAATCTAATTTTTCTAGAATGACAATACTATTCCCTTTAACAGGTTTAGTTATAAAATATTATTACTTTACTAAAGTATTTAATGGTGATATTTCTTCTTCACTTACAGCATTTGAAATAATTATGGAAACGGTGAGAACAAAGGTATAAAATACAACGGGATTACCACCTCTTCCATAGCATTAAAACGTTGTTGATAGTTTACACTGTAATTAGTTGTCATCCAACCAATCGGAAAATACCAGTCTTATACAAAGCCTACAAAAGCTAGTCATAGTGTACCCAGTAGTAGTAATGTGATTCCAGTAATGTGACTCGCAGAAATGAAATAATACATGACAAGCATATTGAAGTCAAAGTTTTTGCTGGTAAGGAGACTCTATGCAAAAAATCGCGGAAAGACACTATGTTTTAGCAGAAGCTATATGCAAGATTCTGAAGAGATTATTTGAAGCTAGTGTTGGTAATAACAGAAGTGTTTGAGATAAAAAATCGATACTCCAAAAGTGACGCTAAGAGCCTCAGCCTATTTTCGTGAAGACACACTAATATCAAAGAAAGTTGTCGAGTATAGATCTTGCCAACGATCTTACTATAACTACAGGTATGAATGTTTCCTAGAGAACAATAACATACACACTGGTGCAAAATGGTCTCAAAGGACTCGTAGCTGTTCGAAAACCGCCGCTGGAAAATGTTAAAAGTTTATAACGGGCTTTGAAACCCAAAGAGTGGAATGAGCATAGTTGGAGACGCCTGTTCCTTGCGTATAATTCGAAGATAGAATTGTTCGACAATAGTTTACTTCATGGCAGAGAAGATAATCATATTCAGTGGGAAACATCATAGTGAAGGATGTTGGGGATCAGTACAAATTTGGAGCCACACCTTATTTAACGGTGTAGATATCTACACAAATTTGATGACATCTTGACTGCTGACAAGTACAGTTAGATTCGTATCTATTATTCTATTCTTTTAGGAACACCGTCATTCAGGCAAAGATTCACCTTCCAGTAAGAAAATGACTCCAAACATACAAAAAAATGTGGTGAATCAATATCTTGACTCGACTGAACTCTCGAAACCATGATTTGTCATACACAACGTCCCGATATGTCTGAGGCTGTAATAAGATTATGTAAAAACTGAGAATGCCAGTAGACGACCTAACAATTTGGTTGAATTGTAGGTAGTAATATTTGGAACATTCTATAATCGAAGTCAGATAAACTGTATGACAGCTTGAAAACAAGGTGAAATTCTCTGTTTACAAAAAAAAGGGGGGGCTAGCATACAAAGTATTTGTGTATTGCACAATTATTTGCATTTCTTTCGTTTTTTTACAATGTTTTATATCACTATTAGAAATAAACGACCTTATAACACCAAAATGTTTTTTTTATTTAATATTGTGTTTTAGTGAACGCTCCCGAAGAAGCTGTAAAGCGAAACGTTGAGTGTCTAATTAAAT